GATTGATCTACAATAACATTTAAACACTTATTTATTTTGATAAACATATGGAAGAGTTGGACTCCTATAAAAGTACCTATTATTTTCATTAAATCCAAACTGAGATATATGATTACATGAGGACAAGTAATGTATAAGTTTAGGGGATTTGATAAGAGTGAAATATGTTATATTTAGGTAGCACATTTTCCCATATTTTTATATTTGTTTATTAACATTACGCATAAAAAAGTTTCTTTATCTTAAGTGCGTAGGGGGCAAGGTGAGCGGAGATTTTGGAGCAAAACAGAAAAAAATGTGCACAATATAAGGAATTCAGACCAACACACCCATGCCCACTTTAACTCTAGGGTGTCTGTCGTGTTTAATGCCCCATGCCAGTCTAAAGTACCCGCGCTAGATCCCATGCACCCGCACCTGCTCATTTGTTCAACCTTTAGTGCACCTGCGCCATAATTGCAGCACCCTACCGCAGGCTCCGGTGCACCCACTCCATATCGCAAAAATTATTTTTTTACAAGAATTTTCTCGTCTTTGCCAAGCTTTGACTATAAATTAATACATGAGGCCTGTCTTAGGGCATCATGGGCAGCTGAAGGCTGTAAGAAAGGTAGAGTTTTGATCAGAGAAAGTTTTCTCTGAGGTTTTTCTCCTTCCTTTGATTGGAACCTCAAAAGGTGAGTTTAACAAAGATCTATTATTAATTAATACCCTTGTTTATTTATTGTGAGTTCCTGAGAGATCTATTGTATGGGAGAAAAATGTGCTACTCTTATGGATAGGACAAGTTTTATTGTAAGTTATTACTCTTGTTTATTTATTGCATGGATTTTGAATCTATGGCTTTCTCGACTAAGTTTGACTAAACTTTTCTTTCTGTGTCTGTGATGTAGAGGTAGTGATTTGCGTTGTGGTTTTTTTAGATGATTTTTTGTTAACATTTCTTGTGCTCTCATTGTCTATGTTCCTTGTTAACTTTCACTCTTAATTTACTCTTTGTTTGGACAACTAGGATATTAAAATGGTTCGTGAAACTGTAACTTCTAAAAGTCGAGTAGTGGAATTAAAGGGTTAACCACTGAATTCCGAGAGAATAAACACATTCTAGTGGAATTCTGCATTTTTTTGGGGATTAGAATAATCATGTGGATTGTCATGGGGATTCAGGAAGCATCAAATTCTTAAGTTATAGGCTTCTTTAGACCTAGACATAGGCAAAAGGAGTAACATATCCCCGATGAGTACCAATCACGTAATTAAATATTTAGAAAATCATGATCATCACGATCCCCCGAATCACAGAGGCACGGGCCTCATCAATCTTGAAGAAACTCTTGAGATATTTCCCGTTTTTCTGCTTCCTTGTCTGCGATCTATTCTGTTTTCATTAGAACTAGGAATTCATACTTTTCTTATAACCTTCAAGCTAAGTTAACTGGAAGTAAATATTACACTTTCCCTGTAGGATCAATGTGCAGTGCTCTTTAACAACATTACCACTTGATACGTGCATTTGCGTTGTACGGTCAACTAACGTTCTGATAAGTTTTGACACATCAAATACTATGAGGCAAACAAAATATATCCTTATATAAATGAGTGTGTGTGTGTGTGTGTGTGTATTAATATGAGTTACTTCTAAATTATGAAGTAGAAGTCAACATTTGGCTTCTAAATCATGGATTAGAGTTTTGTGACTCAAGTAATTCTAAGTAGCCCAAATACAATAAAACAAATATATGTAGTTTGCTTCATTATGTTGAGAAAATTTATAAAAAAAAATTGCAATAGGATAGAAAAACTCTAAGCACTTCATAATTATAGTATAGGAAAATAAGCATGTTCATAAAAATTTAAAGTATCACCTAAGTCTTAGATTAAAGATTTTTAATTTATTCTTAATGTCAAAAGAATTAAATTTGGAGTGGTTTGTTTAGTTGATATTTATTTCATGATTTTGAAGCCTAATGGCAAGTGCAACAAATGTAAACCTTAACACATGATCACTTATTAAAAAGATATGTTTTCTACACTCTAGCTTAACGTCATGTAGAAGATAGTAGACACAACTTAAAAGTCTACATTTTTATACTTGAAACTTTATAAAATAAGTACATAATAATATGCAATAATTATTGAATTTGAAAATATGTGCTCATAATTAAAAGAGATAGCTCATGGTACAATTACCAAACACAAATTGTGTGAAATAATAATAATGATTTTTAAATATGCACAATTATGTATTCATAATAAGATGTGATATCATATAATAAAATAAAAGTATATAGTTGTGTGCTATAATTACATAATTTTTTTATAAGAATATACAACTCTATACTTGAAATAAGTTGTTATTGTTATTTTGTAAAATATTAGTACATAATTCTGCTATAATTTTATTGGGAAGAGCACACATTGATGTACTCATAATAAGTTGAGATATCTCATAATAAAATACAAGAACATTATTGTGAGTTAAAACTATATTGAATTCTAATAGATGATATAATCTTGTTCTTGAAATAAAAGAACTACCAATTATTTTAGTATGGATATTATTTCTTTGATTCCTACATCATTTCATCCAATCCGCATTATGTTCATTGGGATTAATATTTGGCAAACCATTACAATTCAATAGTGCTACTATTATTTTCACAATATCTTCGATGACTTGTGTACTAATTTAGTGGGATGTTTCTTATTATTTAAAAGAAGTATGAATTGGCTCCTCTATTTATAAATATTGGTAAAAAATAAAATTTGAGGACGTTCTATTATATTGCTTTTCTTATAAAAACTTTTAGTATAAACTCTTCGAATCCTTCAAAGCTTACTCAAAAATAAGAAAATTAAATTTTCAAACACGAAGTTAGAGATGACCCAAAATCAACCTAGAAGTATTTTAATAAGATCAAACTTATAATTAAAATGTGGGACTAACTTAAGGATCTTGCTCCTTGCAATGCAATGGTAGATGTTGTTCAACCCTCATGTTTTTTTATTGATTAAGACCAACTAGCTACACCAGCTCTTTCACTCAAAGTTGTGAACAAAAATATGATCATGATGCTTTTAAATCAAGTCTCAAATAAGAGCACTCACAAGATTAACTTCCTAAAGGATTGAAGAGTTCATCTTATACCATTGCTCTTTCTTCACTAGCCTTTTAAGCTATATAGTTTTCATGTATTGAGATATTTATTTCCTCAAACATTTACTTCATTTTTTCTTGCTAAACTACCTTTCATTTTTCTACAATTTTAATTATTTGCCTTTTAATATACTACTATTATTTTCTAGTTGTATGTAATTAAATAATAATAAAATCAAAGAAAATGAGAGGTCTAAAAAATGAAGAAAAGCCTAGGAACAAATATTCAGCCATTATTTATTTTTAGCAATTATCACTTCAACATCAAAATTATAAGTATCATCCATCAGATTTGTAGGTCCGGTCAAGCTTTAAATAAAAAACAAAAAATAATTATAATGCACTCATATATTGCACAACGCTGGCATTTCTTGTGTGGGGCCCTACTCGGTACACACCTGACAATTTTCTGAGGCATTTACGTGCATATCACTAAGGGTGTAAACGAATCGAGCACGAATAAACAAAGCATGTGTTCGTGTTCGGTTCATTTGGAAACTTAGTTTGTTTGAAATAACCTCGTATTCGAAATTGTTCGTGCACGTTCGTTTCTTAACGAATGAGCTAAACACGAACTGTTCACGAACGACGAGCCAGTTTGACATCATTAATATTAATATATATAAATAATATATTATATTAATTATATAACTTATATTATATAAATATATAATATCTATATTAGTATATTACTAATACTAATATAATATATTAATATATTATTATTATTAATTTATTATATATTATAATTTATAAAATTTAGTTTTTTAAAATATTATATATTTTTTATAAATAATTATTTAATATTCAAAACAATAACAATTCAAACAAGAACAAACGCATCACCGTTCGTATTTGGTTCACTTAACTAACCGAACGAAAAAAAATTGTTCACGTTTGTCTCATTTACTTATCGAATAAATCGAACACGAACTGTTCACAAACAAAAAGCTTTTATGACAGCCCTTCATATCACACAATTCTTACATATTTACATTACTAACATATAAAATTTAATATGTATATTTATAACACTCAAAATTTTAATAACACATAAATAATATCACCTCAACTAACTTTTTAAGAGTCAAATTTCTTTTTCAGACATAGGTTATAGCACCAGACATTATATATATAAATATCAAACTTTAGGTGGACATAAAATCATAAGAATTGTGCAATATGCATGTAAATTTCCTTAGAAAGTCAAGAGCACAATCTTTTGAGGAATAGTGTTGTCATCCTCAATTCAATTTTCATTTTTTTAAGTGAATAATTAATAATTAAGACTTAATATTTTATAATAAAAAGTAATTGGCCTTGTTTTAGTAAAATCAAAAATCATTTTTTGATAGTAAACAGTATAAATAATTCTAAAACATATATACACACTTTCATGTGATCCTACAAAGTAAACAATACAATTTATATCCAAAAGCAATATGATTTTAAAGGCTTTTACATCCATACCACCTACTTTCTATGTATTTACACATATCTAGCACCAACATTTTCTTATTTACATTTATACCACCCAACCAATTCTTATCACATAAAAACATAACTACTTCAACTTTAAAAAAGTGAAAATGAGCTTTTCATATGCATAGATAAGATGGCCTATACATGAAGTTTGATATGCAAATACATAGGAATTTAGTGAAATGTGTGTAAATCTTCCTAATTACAAATTCCATTAGATGACCGCAGCAGCCAGTGCAATTACAACAACAATAAAGTTTCAAAGAACTGTCCTTCCTCTTAAATTTCACCACAGACAGCAAGGAAATGTTCATCTGTTTGAATTGAATAGGAAAGCAGCATCCAAACTAACAAATCAGCCTGAAAAATAAGCTGAGCACAGAAGCACTTTTATTTATTTTTATAACTCTCGGAGATTGAAATAAGTAATTTTGCAAAAATAAGAATCATGTTGATTCCCACAAGATACATAGTTTAACAAAGCTTTTGTTTTTACAATATACAGCAGCTATGGTTTAAACTCGATGAGAGAAATCTCCAATTCGGCGAAATATCAAATCGCACGTAAGAAAAAAAATAATAATAATAGAAAAGAAATGCAGAGAAATTATAGTAGAAATAAATCAGGGGATGAAGCATTTCATTCAAATCTAGTTGTCTGATTAAGCCCAAACAGCATCAGTTACCTGCAGTAAGTATGAGTATGTTCACACAAACAAAAACCAGGAATGATTAATTTGCAGCAGCTGGAGGGTTGAAATTTTGAATCTGTTTGAAATAGAGAGAAACAGTGATGAGATAAAAATCAATAAGAAAAAAATTAAATGGAAAGAGTCCTGGAGATTGAGAATACCCTATTAACAAGAAGATTTATTTGCTCCCTGTACATCTCTTTTAAATCAATGATATCGGCCCGCAGTTCCTCCAGCTTCAGAGAACATAAAAATATCAATTTTATCAGATTATGGCCTAAATAAATAAATAATAACAATAATAAATGAATTAGCCATAAATAGGATGATTCATAATCTTATAATAGACAAAAACGTGATATTCGAGGTTGGATTGACAGAGAAAAGGAGGAAAGACAGCAGTTGTAATTTAAAACTGGCTTCATAACAGAAGACTGGAAGGAGCAGTCAAACGAAAACAATGCAATGTGTGATTAGGAGAGGAATTGTAAAGGATGAATATCTGAATTATAATGGTAGATTTGAATGAATTTCCTATATTCGAGAATAATAAATTATTTTCGAGGAACAAAAGATTATATGCCAAATATCATTAGATGTGAAGCTTTTAGTTCTGATAGTTGAATAAAAATCTAACAAACGAAGCAAATTGGCCAAATTACTTGTTTGCTTTTGTAAAAGTTGGTTCAGGAAACACTAGATGATTCGTTTCAAGCTATATTCATTGCAGCCAAGAAGTTTTAGTCTTTAGGAATTTTAATCCAGAAGGGCAATTCATGTTTAGCTTCCTATTTAAGCCGAGCAGTAAACAAATTTTCTATGAATTTTTGCTCAGGAGGAATATTCTTGTTATGTAGATCGATAGAGTTACGCTTAGAAAGAAGAAACACTGAAAGCTCCCTAAAGTCGCATTTGATTGCTAGAAAATAGAAAACATGTTTTGGAAAACCATGAAATTTCATAAATCCATAGTTTTTCAATATATCATTTGATTGGATGTAGTTAGTTAAACACCAACCCTTATTTCAAATTCTGCTAATCAATATAGAGCATTATTTTACTGATTAAAATGTGGTCAAACTTTTATATTGAAGTCTACCCTCGCTAATGCATGGTCCAAAATAATTATTTGTAAGAATCTTGAAAGTTATTATTAAAGTCTGAAGTTCGAACATCACCTATGCTATAATAAATCCCATCCTTTGTATATTAGGATGGACAAAAACAAATCCACATATCTTTTCAAAACTCCTTTAAAAATGGGGATTTCAAATTGGCACTCAAAATGATCACAAAATTCTAATTTTTAAAGCAATTTTCCATCTTCAAGCAACCAAATGAGTCCCAAGTTAATAATACTTAACAAAACTATGGCAGTTGTAACATTGAAACTGTATCAGATGTAAACCATCAGTATTATAATTAAACTTTAGCCAAGAGATTAATGAACACCATTTTGTTTGCATTCAAAAAAAAAATCAGATAAAAAAAGCTAGCCAATTTATTTGAATTTTAATCACAGGCTACTTTTTCAAGTATCTGCTTTCAGCAGTTCTCAATCTTCTGCACTTGTTTCAAATCACAAACAATTTTTTCTCAAACATCTAAAAAAGTTATTATCATAAATGATTTTCTTTATTTATTTATTGATGCAAATCTATATCAAAAGCTTAAAGAATTGAGGCAGCACAGTTGCGTGAATAACGTGGACTAAACCTAGGTTAACTCCACAGAGATGTCTGCTTCAAGTTTTGCAGAATAAAGAAAGCTATTCATCATGTATTAATTGAAATTAAACGAAGAAAATTAAGAGGATGTAGCACCTCCTCATCACGTTCACCCATAAGTTCTAGAGCGGCATTATGTCTTCGCCTTAAAGCATCCAGCTCAGCACGTATTCCAGGCAGAAGAACAGCTTCGGTTCGGAATTTTTCAGACTGAGAAATGCAGTCCCAGAAAATGGGTTAGCCGGCTGATGGAAATAATGACAAACAGACAGAAGGACAAAATTCTTTACCTCTCTCGTCAGTTTAACAAGTTCCTCAGCCAAAGAATCACGGGTGGATTCTGTTGAAGCCTGCGTAGTTAGTCAAATCATAAAATTAATGAAAATATTCATTTAGATAAGTAGAAAGTGATTGCAAATTCTTAATAATAGAAATTTAAACCAAAGAATTTAAAAAAAGTCATACAATGCCCTTCTTCTCTTAATATGAATCATTCAAAAAGAGGGAAAATAATAATAGACAACAGAAATGACTGAAACACGACATGAGAATGCAAAAAAGACCACATGATGCCACAGAAAACAAATAAAAACAAGAAATTGCTAATGGCAAAATGGGAATAATTTTAACAGCTACTGCCATGCATGCATGCATATTCTTGAGGAGAAATGTGATCAAAGCGCATAAATGAAGAAATTTAAAAATTTAAATTGCATTGAACACACCGATATCATTCTAACAGATTTATAGATCTCATGATTTACGCCATAAAATAATGAAGCAGTACAGTTCAGGTCACAAATTAAGCTACAATGATAACTTCTGGATTATCATGTAGTTCTCTTGCGAAGAAAACTGTAAGGAATGTTTAGTTCATGAAGTGAGAATAGACGAGTTTGATTGGATATCCTTGTCAGGACAATCAAAAGAAAAGAATGGTATACAATGTCATGAAAATCATATTTATAACTTCCATAACTAGATGAACTAATTCTCAAAAATAAAACCAAAGGAAGAAATACAATGAGATAGTTCCATTACCAAACGAGAAATATATGAAGCAAGCTCTCCATCTTTCTGACGAAGTGCAGCTTCAAAAGTGCTAGGTGTCATGCTCTTCAAGTAGTATGAAGAGAGGTTCGACTCTCCACTTCTTCTCTCAGATGAAAGATTATCAGATGGGTCCAGAGAAGCTTGCAAGAAAATGCTTTCATCCATGTCAATCAAGCTGCTAGCAGTGAAGGACTTCCTTGGAGGGAAATTTCCTGTATAAAAAAAGAATTTATCGTATATAACTATCATAGATTGAAGAATATTTTTTGGCATATAGATATTCACAAATAAATGATACTTACCATTGTCAGCATTCGCGTTTTTCAGATTAGAAGAATTTTGATTTGTAGCCATAGAAGTTTGACGAGATGCCGCCTTTTCCAATTCTATCCTTGTAGTTCTCTCCCGTTCAAGCTCCTACTTATCCGAAAAGCTCATATTAAGAATTAAAAAAAAAAAAATCTACAAAATTCTGAATTTCAGCAAGCACTTAAAATTCAAAGAAATCAAGTTCTAGTTACTTGTAATCATGGGAAACAACATATTTCTATCAATATGATCATCATCATCACCAACCTTATCACTGTTTCTGGTGGTTAAAATTATGAATGATCCCGTTATGAGTGTTTCTTATGGTATAAATTTATGGGCATTTACATACGTACCACCTAATTCTTATGTAATTACATATCTAACACCTAAACATTGCTTTTTATATTTATACTGCACAAATCTTCATATCACATTAAAATTGCCACTATTTTAACTTTTAAAAAGTAAAATATACATTTTCATACATAAGGTAGCAACAATGTTTAAAACTGCATAATTGGGTATTAAAGCATTTTCATTCGTAAGGCGAGGCATAAAACTAGAGACGATTTGAGCTACAAGGATCACGGTTTGAAAATTACATGTTAAATAAAAGGATAAAAAAGAATATATTAGTATCCTAACATATAGATATATTAAAGAAAGATATTAATATTCTAGCATGATAAAAAGTGATGAATTATGTTTATATGAAATAACAAGTTGAGTAAGCCACCAATTATTAAGTAACATGTGCAAAAAAATAATAATAATAATGTAAACATCAATTGATTAAGTAATCAAATTAGCATAAAAAATGAGATGAATGAAGCATAAAATATCAAGACATAATGAGTAGCACAGTAGACTTTTCCCACTCATATTGCTTAACCAACATAATAACATCCATAAATCTAAATATAAATAAAGTAAAAAAATCAAAAGATGAAACAACAGGTGATGGTGATAGTGGCGACAATAACAAGAGTAGCCGACAGTGGCAATAAAAGCGACAATGACAAGAGTAGCAGGCAAAGCAGAGCAACATGCGACTGCTATAACAGAAGCAAGAAATAGTTGCAACGAAACTTAACGTTGACAGAGGAAGCAACTATCACGACTTAGCCTGATAGCTTAGCATTAACTAAATCAAGAACTGTGGTCTGACGATATTAACATTTCATTTACTTTGCACAGATTTTCATAATTTCCAATTTATAAAATAATCACTAAAAAAACCATAAAATAAATTACACAAAAATCAAATCATCCAAAATTAACATCATGCTTTGTAAGTAAAACATCTCAAACAAACACACAATGGTAACACCACCAAGAATTAAACAATACAATAACTACAACCAGAATATAACATATAGCCTATCAACAATAGTCTTCCAGTAAATTAAATTCATTATATCAGACAAATCATTCTACAATTTTTTTTGAAAGAAACAAGTAAAATCAAAAGTAAAATTTTCATGATATGCAATAATGTTCCAAGGGTATACAATTTATTAATGTAATCAAAACTATAAGCTATTATTTCTAATTTAACCCTTCGTGTTTTAATTTAAATATTTAAACTTTTTAATCTCTTTAAGATATCATATCAAGATTATCATCATAATTATACCTATAAGTACCCTCAAAATTTTGCACCTAAAAGTATACATTTATCATTTTCATTTCCTTTTTCGAGCAGTGTACATCGCAACTCCTGACAGTATCATCAGGGGATAATCCTGAATGACTTGAGCTTTCACATTTCATTTCCATAAATTACTTTCTTTTAAAGATAATGAATAATCATTTTCTCTTTTTTCATTTAACTTAATTTCATTTCAATAATTCTTTTTTATAACATGCATGCAATGTTCATGTGATTATAAAAATAGTTGTTTGAAGCATTAAAACAAGTTTTTACTTAATAAAACATCAATTTAATACATATAAGAAAGAAATTACTCATTTTGCTTATTTGTCTCACCGACTATCTCCAGATCTTCAAGGTTTAAACGTACTTCAACCTTGATTGCTATTATAAATTAATATTTTATTAAATATTATTTCTAAATTAAGTAAATTAAATTTTAACTTTAATTAAAACATACATTATCTTTCAAAGCGATTCGCCCCCTCGATCTTGAAACTGTATCCCCCTTACCTCAAGTACTTCCAGATTTTGAATACACTTACTATTAACACTTAAGAGAATATATATATGTGTGTGTGTGTGTGTGTGTGTGTGTGTGTGTGTGTAATTCAATTCATTAATTAAATTATAAAATAGACCCAAACTTACCCGAGTTTGCTCGACTGAATCTCCCTCATCCTCTAGTTCCCACACTTCACCTACTTCTCCCTCCGAGCTGAAATTCTATACCTTGAGTCCTAATTTAATTAAACTTTCTAATAGCATTAATTTAATAAACACACACAATATATATATTTATACAACAATTTTATTTATTAAATAACTGACACCTTGAGTCCTAATATTATACTCACCTTCTAGCTCTCGGTTGCATGCCCTAACCTGCACAAACGTGGCTTGCTTTTCTTCTTCTACTTCCTGCAATGTGGCACGACCCAGCACCTCCGATGATATTGTCTCTCCATTTTTGAAGTTAAGGTTTGACTATCCTATCTGTAATGAAAAGGTATGTACTGACACCACATCTCTTGTTTCATCTTAGACCTAGTAAAAATATTGTCATTTCCCTCACCATGGCGCAGGTGCTTCAAATTTTCCTTTCAAAACAATACACTTTTCTTTAACTTGCAAAATTTTCCGAGGGGGTGTCATGGTACTCAAAACACATTCCACCGTCTAGATACACTCAACGAATTCGTCCAGATCAATGTGGCCATAAAAAAAATATGGCTAATCTACATGTACTTCAAAATCCAGACTCGGATATTTTAGGTCAACTCTTCGGAGTAGGGATTCTTGTTCTTTGGAATTCGTCCAGTGGAAGGGATCTACTGCATTCTTTCGATCTCATAAGTCACTGTTGTGACTACAGTTGACCCTTCCAGATTGCCTCCTCACAAAGACGACAAGCCTCTATGACAATTGGAGGATTTCCAGTCGCACATCCTCCATGGAAGGTTTCTGAACATCTCTTTGTTGATTCCTCATAAGCGGCATCATATCTTTTTCCCTCGATCATATTTCCGGCTATTGTCTCTTCAGAGGCATGGCTAGAGTTTGGGTTTGGGTTTGGGTTTGGGTTTGGGTTTGGATCAGTGGAAGAATGTGTCTAAGATGAAGTATGGTGGGGAAAAAAAGTTTAGGGTGGCAGTTTTGGAAAAATCAGCTAAGAGAAGAGCGTTGGGTGGAGATAAGGTTGGGTATTGGTGGATGCTAGAAACCCTAGATAGAACCAGGATTATGCTGATACCAAATGATACCGCAATTAACAAATAACAACGGGAAAAACATATAATATTACTGCAATCAAATGAAAAATTATAAGGACTAAATGGAAATAAGAAATAACTGCACACAAAACAAGCCACACAACTCGAGCATGGATCAAGGGTGGTAGATATTGTCGATTAAGGTTTGGAAGGTGTCAGAATAGTGGACGAGATGGTCGGCAAGCAAAAAACAACAAACTGTTTCTCGAGTTCCGGGCAACAAGCACGCAGTAGATATCGACATGGCACAATTGTCCGGAATGATGGCAGCAAGAGGGAAGGGCAGGGGTGCAGAATCTAGAAGATGGCAGCAAGTGGAAAGGTGATAGTACACAGGTTCCAAAGTTAGCAGCGTGTGGGAAGGGGAGGAATAACTGGAAGAGCTCGAAGAATAGCAGACATACTGCTTTCTAGTGGACGACAGTAAGGGAAAGGTTTTGTGGCAAGGTAGCAAACAAAAACGAGGGAAAATGGGGGAGAGGAGATGGAGTGCAGGAAAGACAGCCAAGAATGGCTGTTTGGTGGCTGCAACAGGAGGAAAGATGGTGGCTGCAACGGGAGGAAAGACAGTGGCTGCAACAGGGAGGTTGTGGTGGAAGGCGAAGTTGAAGATCACCACCTCAAAATAAGATACAACCGGAGCACCACTCGCCCTTTGATACAACCTTAGAAGGGTAGACTTGGAGATGTCTACGGCTGTCACGACAGAAAAAGCACAAAAACTAACTCTATAATATCATGAAAGAAAACTTATAATAACAGAATAACTAGGAGTGGGTACTTCTACTTGAAAGAGGTGGTACTCCCATAGGAAGAGCCGACAGACTCTCACTAATGCTATAGACCAAACCGGTCCGGGCTGCAGATGGACGTCAAAGACCCGAGTGATAAATTGTCAGTCGGGATATTTAGTAACTCCTTATAAAAGGGCAATTTCTTTTTTATTATCGGCTCTTCAAACTTACAATCTTCTAGAAACAATATTAATTCAGCAAAAATCTCTCTCAAGGGCTCAGCTTGAATTACTATTGTATCCCTTCTCTAAAGTTTTCATTCTCTCCTGTATCAAAATCCATTTCTTCCTTTGTTTCCTACTCAGTGAAATTGACCATAAACTTGTTTGGACAATCTAATGCAAAGTGTCCGAACTTGTGAAACTTGAAGCCCTATCAAGTTGGGATGAATTTGAAAGTGTTGGAGAACTCCATCTTTTCTCCACTTTGGGTTGATTTCTCCATTGGTAGTGTCGTCTTGGATGCTCCAATGGGTGTACTTTTACTGTCAAATCTTAGGGTTGAACTCTGTAAGGTGTGTCAGTCAGCTGGTGATGTTGTTTCTCCATCTTCAAAGTTATGGTTTGGACATCTAGTACCAATATGATTGCAACTGAACCACATTACCAATAGATAACCTCAGTCCACCAAAATATCTTGCCACTATATGTTTCTGTGATTCTACCAATGCACATTTCAACATGAGTTAGTCAAAGTCAGCTATATAATCTCCACATAAATGTCTCTCTGGCACAGGTAATGATAAGTTGGGGAAAGGAATTTACACTGTATCTCCCTTTTCATCATAAACCACATGGTGATCTTACTCTTCACTTCCACTGTTGAATACACTTCAGGTTTTCCAACCAAAATAAAGCATTATTTATGAGTTTGATGAGTGTTAAT